TGGCTACAGATGTTCTTGGAGCTGGGCTGTGGTGGCACACGTCTTTATTTCCAGCACTCATGCGGCAGAGGTAGGCGGATCTTGTGAATTCAAGGAGGCTAGCCTGGTCTACAGAGCAAGTTCCAAGGCAGCCAGGGCTACACAGAGAAACCCTGTCTTGGGGGTGGGGAGAGGGAGGGGAGATGTCCATGGAAAAAGGCTAAGGCTAGGAGTCATTGGTAGAGTACTCATATATCAGGCAGGAGACTCCGCATGACCTCTTCCCCCAGTTTGTTTATTTATTGATTATTTTTATTTATTTGTATGCATTTTGGGTGGGCAGAGTTTCACTGTGTAGCTCTGGCCGGCCTGGAACTTTCTATGTATAGCAGGGTGGCTTCAGACCCACAGAGATTAGCCTGTTGCCTTCTGAATGCTGGAATTACAGGTGTATACTAACCACCCAGCTTCAATTTCTTTGTTTACTATATCTGTGCTTAAGAGATACAAAGACCCAAGTGTGGTTCCCAGCATCCACGTTGGATGGCTCATAACTACCTATAACTCTAGTTCCAGAGGCTTCAGGAGTCTCTTTTGGACTTCCTAGACACATGTCCACACATAGACACAGACATACACATGATTTAAAGGAGGCAGAGAATTATATAAAGATGGTACAGGAGTTAAGAACTTGTACTGCTCTAGCAGAGGACCAAAGCTTGGTTCCCAGCACCCACATCAGGCTACTTGCAACTATTTATAACCCCAGATCCAGGGGATCTAGGGCCCTCTTCTGGCCTCCACAAGCACTACACTCACAATGTACATACACCTAGAAACACATACATACATAATTAGAAATAAATATAAAACCTTTAAAAATAAACAAATAAAAGTAGAGATAAATCTAAAGAAAAGGAAAGAAAGATTTTCATGAAGAAGACCTAGTCTCACACAGATATGTAGCTAAAAGAGGGAGAAATTAATAATAACCTTGTTAGCCAGGCGGTGGTGGCGCACGCCTTTAATCCCAGCACTCAGGAGGCAGAGACAGGCGGATCTCTGTGAGTTCGAGGCCAGCCTGGTCAACAAGAGCTAGTTCTAGGACAGGAACCAAAAGCTACGGAGAAACCCTGTCTCAAAAATCAAAATAATAATAATAATAATAACCTTGTTAAATGATTGTGAACATCTTTCTTTGATACTACTCTAAGTTCATTGAACAGTGGTGTCTTAAAAGTCATGATCATGGAATCTGAAACCGTATCAATGAGCTGCCTAGTTTCTTTTGCACTAAAATCCACGGATCCATTTCTGAGTGGATTTTCTACAGTGCCTTGACTGAGCAACATTATGCACTGAATATTTGCAGTATGTCAGTTAAACTGAGCTAGGTGGATCTTTCAAAATGTTTACACTACTTTTAAAAAGTCACATTTATTAATGTTGCCATAGATCTCATAAAACAGTGTTAGAAAGCTGCAAAGTTCACGGTAACAATCACAAGTCGTGCAAATTTTTACTGTAGTTACAAATACTGTCATTCCTAGAGAAATACTGTGCCCTGCTTCCCTTGACGTTACAAGAAAATAGCATTTTTTTTTCTTTTTGAGAAAAACCCAAGTTTGTCTGCCAATCATTCTTTCAAGTAAAGATAATGTCCCACAGAAAAACGAAGACTATTTTCAACAATCTTGGGAGCGATTTTCCCCTGGACACTGACATACTTCAGCAGCAGCAGAGGAGTGATTTTCCCATGGACACTCACATACTTCAGCAGCAGCCGAGTGCTTGCTGGACCCATTACTGTGTCGCAAGGAAGAGTCGGGTCTCAAGGGTTCAGATTTAGGAAAATTCGTAATTTTTACTGCTCCATCAAGGACATCCTTAAATGAGCTTTCCTTTTTTTTTTTTTTTTCTGAGTACATGGGGTGAAGGATAGAAAGACTAATCAAAATTCTAGGGCCCCTGCCTTGATTTGTGCCAAGGTGCGAGCAATTTACCTATCACTGCCTTGACCTCATTACTACAAATGCCTACATGGAGAAAAGAGCAAACAGCATCTTAATATTACTATAAAAAATTTAAGAACATTAGTGAATTGATATCATTGGGGTTGTAGCAACGCCATGGCACACATGTGCAGGGCAGAGAAGAACTTGATGAAAGTGGTTTTCCCTTGGTCTACCAAGTAGGTGTCAGAGACAGAACCTAGGGCACCGGTCTAGTCAGCAGGCTCATCACCTCATTCTCATCATAAAATTCCTGTGACCCTGAGACCCTCTGCAGACTATCTACTATTCTAAGGCTGTGATCCCACAGTCTACCCACCGTTAGCAATTCTGGGGCTTAAATAGAATTACACCTGTGAGCCAGCACTTAGGAACCATCTTAGAATGCACAATTAAAAAAAAAAAAAACAGAAACTAAATAAATCTTACATTTGATGGATGATGGAAATGCGGTAGAAAGTGTACTATGGTTTTTAACAAATATATGGTCTTAAAAGCCTAGTGAAACGAAACAGTATTTGAGCCTAATGTTATGGTGAATAAGAATCCAAACTGATGGCTCATGGGTATGTGCATCCAAACATAGTAAATTTTGATTTTGAATTTTGTTGTGCTAATCTCCATTATTTATCTTCCTAATGTTTCAGATTGGTCCGACAGTAACATTGGTTGAATATATAGCAGTTAAGGGTGGACACAAATGACCTTGAAGAGTGCTTGTCCTTCGTTCAGACACCAAACTGCTATTTAAACAGAACACCCTCTGCTTATTTCTATTTCCTATTGTTATGTAGTACTTCAAATAATTTTTTGGGAAAAGGTAGAGGTATGAATGAATTCCATTTAAAATGCTTTTGGCTGTTGATGAAACGCCTATATAATTAAAAGTCGAAAGCATTTGCCTGCTTGCCTTTAAAAGGTCGCAGGAAATGTACTCAGCGTAGAGGGAGGAAAGGTCCAAAGAGTGTTTCCAATTACAGTGTAGTAAGCACTGCGAGGGAGGGGTCACTGCAGTTGCAGGCAAAGGTGGTGTTGTACCCATTTGCTGCTGTGATCCTGACACCTTAGGTAAAGGTGCTGGGGGAGCTGTGGTCATTAGGTGTGAAGAGCCCCCTGCAGTCTGCCCGGAAAGGACCAAGTCCAGTTGATAGTTCATATGTCAACGTCAAACCTGATGCACAGTCCAAGTCACGGCCAATTGGATTTGATCTGAGTTGAAAGACAGTCTATTTCAAATACTAGCACAGGGAAATTTAACTACCTCTTTTTGTTTGTTTATTTTTCTTATTTTGAGACAGAGTCTCACTGTGTAGCCCTGGCTAGCCCAGAGCTTGCTACATAGACCAAACTGGCCTCAAGTACACAGAGACAGGCCTGCCTCTGCCTCCCTAGTGCTGGGATCAAAGGCTTTGGACACTGTGTCTGATTTTAACTACCATTTCTTTAAGAATCATTTTTTTGAATTGGTTTAAGGTTGATGCTCTAGTTTAAACTCAATTATTTTATGGTGTACTTATTTTAGCAGACATTTAAACCTTGCTTTAGAAAACATCCCTTAACATTTGGGGTGCTTGATATGTTGGTCGGCATCAACAAGGAAGGGTTCATCCTGAGAGTTCATTATTAATGGAAGCCATCTTTCGGGGGAGACACAGTCCCCTTTACGGTTTCAATTGCCACTTTTAAAGAGGTTGTACCTAAACCGAACCACCATGGCTCTCTTTAATATCACTGGAGACTTCTAAGTCCCAGTAGTTACTCATATCAACTTAGAGCATGCCATTTTAATGCTCTGTCTCTTCACTATGGCTCCACCCTCTTCAATGAAAACATCTATTTAAAAATTGGTAGGAAAATGTTTAACATAATACGATGATGAGTCAAGAGGCTTTCTTTAAGCTTGAAAAGGGAAGATGTCCTTTCAGTAACGCACCTTTTTATTTTTTTAGCTCTGACTCATGACATAGAATATATTCCACTGAGTTCAGAGTTTCCCCTTACAAAGAGTTTTATGAAACAACTCTTCTTCAGACCAATTTTTTTACTTCAATTATAGTAGCAGATTTTGGAGTTTTAAATCATTAACAACCTCCCAGTGAACTTTTATCCAAATGGCTTACAGTCAGAGGAAGAACTGTTCTTTTCGCCGAGCACCTTTTGTGAGGAGACCCGTCCTTTTCTGCTTTCCCTCTTCCTGTGTCTCTTTGAAGCAGGATGTGTGATTTGTAAAGAAATGAAAGTGTATCGCTTTAATAAAAACTGTTGCAGTGTGCTCAGAGTGCACACTGGGATTGCTTCAGGGTGAACTTCAGCTACCTGTGTTCTTGGGAGGGGGGTAGATTTCAGAAGTTAAGATAGCTGTGTGTGCACAGTAGGAATATCACGTTGCAGTTAAGTCAACCCTCAGGAGTGACCTAATCTTATTTTTCCTCTTTCTTGACCAAGGACCTGTAATTTTCATTTAGGCTGAGTTTTCAAGTGTTAAACTCAACTGGACCCTCCAAAATTGGGCATTCATTCCATTCACCTACTGATCTCACCATATGCTATCTTTTAATTAAAAAAATATTTATTTCCATTGCACTGTTTTAAGAGAGTGACTGAGTCTGTAACCTCCAGACTCAAGGTGATGGGGTGAGCGTGAATCTTCCAGTGACAAAGGCATGAGGAATTTTATACAGAACCAAATGTAGTTTAATACACAAAAGAAAGTGCTTAGTGCAACCCATTTTCTTAAAAATAAATCTGTAAAATAATGTTTCAGTAGCGGGGGGAAAACTTTTTCACCCCCCCCCTTGATTGGGCGACTAGCGGGATAGATTTGAAGAAGTCCATCCCACCCCCGCACGCGCGCCCCCCATTCTTTCCAGACAGAGCAGTTGTAAATGCGAGGCTGAGTCCGCCCCGAGAGCCTTAGGGCACCTTCCTCTTTGCTGTGTGTGTGTGTGTGTGTGTGTGTGTGTGTGTGTGTGTATGTGCGCGCGCGCGCGTGTCTAGCTCTCTCTTTCCCTCAGTCTGTGCCTCTGTATGTGTGTGTGTGAGTGTGTGTGTGTGTGACAGGGAGAGAGAGAGAGAGCGCGCGAGAGGAGAGCGAGAGAGCGAGCTGCGAGCTGTGCTGCCGCCGCCGCTGCCCTTTGATCCCGACATTAGTGTTAGGGGCTCGGAGACACAGCGCGCGGCCATAGACACCGCCGCACCGGCGCTCATTTATTTATACCTCCCATCACACGCGAGCACAGGACACACACACACTCACACCTATTAGATCCGTTTCCATTGAAGAATATTACGCTCGGGGACAAGCCAGGTGCACGACCAAAAAATTAAAAAAAAAAAAAGAAAAAGAAAAAAAGAAAGAAAGAAAGGAAAGAAAAGAAGAAAACCCCTCTTCTGGCTCCAGGAAACAAGCTTCAACCCATTGCACACACCGGAGAGAAGGGGTTTCCCCCTGCCCGCCCCCCAACTACCTCCCCGCTCCTGCCAGTGTCTGCCTGTCTGCCCCCACGGGGGTTTATTTGATCTCACATTAACCGAGGAGGAGAATGTGAGAAAAGGGGGAAAATGCCCAGGAGGAAGCAGGAGCAGCCCAAGCGCCTTCCCTCACGTAAGTCATCCCTTCTCCACCTCCTCTCGTGCCATTTTCTCGCCCTCCCTCTCCTCTTTCCCCTCCGCAGCCTCCGCCGTTGTTTTCTGCATTAGTTTAGGGTTACAGAGGTGAAACTGACAAAGACACAGCCCGGGTTACTCCTCGTTTAGGTCTATGCCGAGGCAGCCATGTTGGTGATGATCAGCCCCGTGCCCTTTCTATTCTCTCTCTCTTTTTCTTTCTTTCTCTCGCCCCCCTCTTTTTCCTTGAGATCGGGCTTTTTTACCCCTTTCCCTCCCCCTCCTCACTCCGGGTTGCGGGGGAGGGGGCGAGAGGAGGAAGGAGGGGAGTAGTGTGGATGCCGGGTTTTTGTCGCGGGTGGGGGGAGGTGGGAGAGGTTGCAATCTTGAAAAAAGAAATTCTGTGTGGATCCCGGTGCCCGAGGGTGCGGGGTCGGGGCGCGCGCCGGGCCGGGGCCGTGACATGGCGATTGGGGGTGTTGGGGCGAGGGCGCGGGGCCGCCAGCCGGGCTGGGGACCGGAGAGGTCGGTCTCCGGCTAAAGGTTGCGCCGGGGTGGGTCGGCCGCGGAGCCGCGGGCGGCTGGAGCTGGAGGCGGAGGTGGAGGCGGCGGCGGAGGGGGAGCCGGGGGCGGCCGAGGAGGGTGTGGGGGCGCCGGGGGGCGCGGGCGGCCGATGGGGGGGGGCGAGGCCGGGCAGCAGAGCGGATGTGGGGTGCGGGAGCCGCGCCGAGGCTGAGGCGAGGCAGCCAGGGCGGCGCGCGGCGCGCGAGGTCCCTGCAGAGCCGAGGGGAGGGCGGAGCAGGGCTCCCGGCCGCAATAAAATGCGGGGTCAGGCGGAGCAGACGGAGCCGGGGCGACTCGGGCTCGTAGACCCCCCTCCCTGGCCAGCCCGAGCAGAGTCCGAGACTAAAGTGCATCCCAGCCCTCCTGGCCGTAGCCACACACGCCAACTGGAGACTCGCGCCGGGCTGCGCGGCCGGGTCCCCGTCCCCTCCTCCACCCGCGCCTCGGGTCCCTCTGCGCCGCCCTCCCGCTTTTCTTTGCGAGACTCTTAACTTTTCCCCCACTCCCTCTCGGGCTCCCCCCTCGTCCCCCCAAGCTCTCTCTCCGCTCGGAGTGTTCCGAGATGCTGCTGAAGCTAAAAGTGAAGGAGAAAGAAGCAACTAAAAATATCCCCCCGGGGCCGCCCGGCTCCTTGAATGCAGGGGAGAGGGGGCAGGGGAGAAGGCGTGGGGCGGGGTGGCGGGAGGAGGGGACGCGGGAGGCGCCGGAGGGAGGGGTCGGGGGAGACGGAGGGTCAGTTTCTCCTCTTTCCCCCCCCCCCCCCCCCCCCCCCCCCCCCCCCCCCCC